GGCTTGCTACCTACGCCACTGAGTGTAAACGAATTTGAGCCAGTGTTGGTTTTTTTTTTTTATTATTTATCATTTCCGAAATATCTATGTCATCACAAAGAGGGCTAGTAAAATAAAATTGAAATGAAAATAAAAGGTTCATAGTCATACACAAATTCATTTTAAAATGACGATCTGTTTTTTTCTTCTTCGTGATAAGAAAACCCGGAAGCCTAATGTACGGAAAAAGATTTTGGGCGATGTATATCGTCATCACCTGAGCACTTGGTGGAGGAGAAATTTCTATTATCTTATTGGCTAACATGTGATTTGGAGGCGTGGCTTCTTTGATGGACTCACCCAGGCGCGACTGCCAAACTTTGAACTTTAACTTTGTTTACGCCACGAGTTCATGAAAGTCAGACATGGAGTCTGAAAATTTGTAGACATTTTAACGAACTTTCAAGAGAAAGGAACATCGAAATGAGTGCATACTATTGCAAATTAACTTCGTGTAGGTAAATAAGGTTCTTTACAGGCCTGTTGCGCTATTTATATTGGTGGTTTTTGTATTAATTTTTGTACAGCATTGAAGTAGTCGGCGAGAACATTGTTGTAGTTAGCCGATCGAATGTGCCGGCAGCTGGCTCTTAAACCCCTGCTTATGCCTGTGTTCACTGTTTAAACATACTTGTGACAGTACAGTATATGTGGGATGGCATTTTTATGCAGGGAGGTGGTACCTACAGTAGTTTATGTTACTGTAGTATTGTACGCTATTCTCTTGTACGCTATTTTATTGTTATTTATTGAATTTATGATGTAGGCCAACTAATATAAGGGCCTAGGCTTAATAATAATAATAATAATAATAATAATAATAATAATAATAATAATAATAATAATAATAATAATAATAATAAAATATTAATTAAATTGACTTTTTAACAATAAAAATGTACGCCGCCAGGCTCAATGAATGTAGGACATAAACCACCCAGGACATAAACCACCCAATTGGAATATACCATTGTTAAAGTGGGTGGGCAACAGGGTGAACAATGTTGGGTGGTCTTGCTTTTATCTAGCTTTACAATAGGACTTAATTTGCTATTGTACACTCCTATTATACGCCTTAATAATTCATTCATTTCTTCTGACAACATGCATGTTGGTTAGTAATCATTGTAGATTTTAGTAATCACTGTGCTTAAAGTTTAATTTTTTTTAGTTTTCTAAATTTATTTTAATTTTCAAAATGACTTGCATTAAAAATCACTTTTAATTAAATACTTCCCTTTAATAATAATAATAATTTTACAGTATTTTAGTAATCACTGTGCTTAAAGTTTAATTGTTTTAATAGGTATATTTTAGTTTTCTAAAATTATTTTCTAAAATTATTGCACAATGGGTAAAAATAAGAATATAAATGACTAATTCTATAAAAAAGTATTTATCATACATGTATATGGTTTACAAATTGAATTCTTAATAATTATCATTAATTTACATTTACAGTATTTATATTATATAACTGATTTCATTATTAATTTCATATTCTCCAACAACCAAACTTTCCATTCCATTGTGAAATTTTGAGAAAAACATAATTTGTTAAACAACAGCTGAAATTAAACGTC